GAATAACTCACCATAATTCACCTAATGGTGTCTTCATATAGGAAAACTACGTCGCAGGAAATTTGGATGTATAGACTTAAGGCAAAACAATATTGGGCTCTCTGGAACTCACTCCATATTCGGTACGGCATCTTATACCAGTATTTCGAATCGGATGACAGGAAGGTATTCCGATAGCAGCTGATACTTCCAAGTTCCGAGACCCCGAACGTGCTTAGTGAACTACACAGCAGTCCAAGAAGTGACCACTTCGGAATAATAAAAACTTTCCAAAGAGTTCGAGAACGCTTTTACTATAGTAATGCAAGGGCTTGCCGAAGGAAGTTGCAACGTTACAATGTAGGAGAACCTTTTGAACATATCACCTTTGACATCTTGGAAGCTCTGCCATCAACTGCTGATGAAAACAAATACATCGTTGTTGTCATTGATTACTTCGCCAAGTAGCCTCAAGAGTATCCTATTCCTGATCAAGTGGCTGCCACAGTAGAAGAGGTAATGATGCAGGCACTGAATTTACAGGTTCGGAATGCCTGTTCAGTTACATTCTGATCAAAGAAGAAATTTTGCATCAGCTATGATTAAAGAACTTTGCAAGCTACTCGGCATTGGCAAAACCCAAACAACACCTTTGCATCCCCAGTCAGACGGAATGATAGAGAGGTTTAATCGAACCTTCCTTTATAACCTCTCGCTGGTGATTTCCAGAAACCAACAGGACTGGGACAAAAAGTTAAATCTGTTTTACTGCCTTATCGTAATGCTGTCCGCGAGACTACTGGCTATCCCCGTCCAAGATACTCTTCGGTCGTGACCTTCATCTTCCATCAGATCTCTTGTTTAGTCGCCCTCCGGATGCGCCCGAGGAGTACACTTAAGATCTCCGGGTACGGTTTGAAGTGATGCATAGTTTTACACGAGAGCGAGTCAGCTAGACGACGGAAAAGATGAAGACCCGATGCGACTCAGAGCTACAGGATATCGATTCAACGAAGGTGACAAGGTGTAGTTGCAGAAACTGATTCGACGGAAATGACTTTCTCCTGAATTTCAGTGACTTTGGGACGGTCCTTACACAGCCCTGAACAGGTTGAACGACGTCGTAGTTCGGATCCGTAAGTCACCAAATTCTAACTCTAAATTCATTCATTATGATAGACTAGCCATAGTAGGTAGTTCTCATAGTGTATATAATATAAATAGGATACTTAGACCATGATACTATTTGTATTCAAATTTGAAAATTTATGCACTTTTTTATCGATTTATTATTTGATTTGTTTACGTTATTTATCGGAATTATTGTTTTAGTACTGCACTGGTTTTTCTTAGTTGTAAGTATAGCTTCCTATCCGAGAACTGTACTGGCCTGGACATGCAATCCTTGAGAAGGGGGCAATAATACGAATTTTGTGCATATTTAAATAATTTTCGTGAAATTATATATGAAATTGTAGGTTCTTTTTTTTTGGGGGGAGGAGGTATAATGTAGTATGAAAATATAAAGAAGCGAAGTCTTATTGAAAAGGAACTTAGGGGTAAGTCTATTTAACATTGAGTGAAAGATTATCTCGCTAAATTGGTGAGATATCGCTAAGGTGGCAATGGTTGTGACGACTAGTTTTTGACACCAAATTTTACGATAAATCTTCAGAAGTGACCAAACTACGCGATCATTTGGCGGCACTTTTATCCGGTCCTTCTAGAACTGTAATAAGTATTGTAATTGTAGAACAGTATTTGATGCTATATGTATCTGTAATGGTATCCGTCGCTCATATGCTTTCGAGTAACTTCGAGAATTGGAAGATTCTAGAGATTTCTCGGCGGCCGAGGGGAAAACTATATAAGATAGGGAAGAGTGCCAGTTTCGCAGATGTTTTGTTCAGCTTGACTTCGGAGTACTGAAATGTTTCCGTGTTAGCTTCGTTCTTTAGATGTACTTTGGATTACGTTGTGCTTAACTTTCTTAGTAATTTGATGTGTAACTAACTACTTATTGTACTCTATGATACTATTTAAGAGCTGTACGAGTACTTTCGTTGAAAGTCCTACAACTGTGAAGTTTTGCTTTTGGTAAAATGATCTTTATAAGCTATCACTAGTTCACTAGTTCTGTGTGCATTGAATCTATTACGAACCCGTGAGCATACAACAATACCCCTTTGTGTGAAATTGGATTGTTTTTAATCAGTTTTATAATTCAAACAAACAATATGTGTAAAAAGTCTTGATAATTACCAAAATCTGAGTAAAACTAATTTTTACGTAAGTAATTATTTTTATTATGTGTAATAAAAAATATAGCATATAAGCGAAAAATTTCGGGTATCATATTTTTGTGCGTGACGTCTGTACGTACAGAATTAAGGATTCTTTATATCAAAATGAATTTTAAAATGCATTCAGAACGGATTTTTTATGATATCTGTACGCATCTCGCATACTCAAAAATGATTAGTCTCATATAGTATCACATAGGATTACTTAAAGCACAAAAACACAATTGGAGTACATGAAGTCACATGAAGGATGGAGCACAAAATTAGTGTTGGGCAGTTCTGCAGTATATAAGTACTGCTACACCTTGAAGATGAGTGCAGTTAAATTGCGTAAGGCGTTGATTATTGTAGCGTCAGACACTGATATAACACTTACTAAACACACTAATTAACATAGCACGAGGATGCTGTAGCACTAATTATTGGGCCCCAGTGCCCCAGCAATTAGTGCATCGTGAGGCAGTACACTGCACCGTAAAGCACACAAACCTTAACTAACACTACACTAAAAGATACCTGTTGACATGCTGTTGAAGGGATTACACACAAATCATTAAGAAAGCGTTACACATCTCATTAAGGAGATGTTATGCACTTGCTAATTATTGGTATTGCACACTTTAAATTGGTGGATATGGAAGCTTAAACACACAGAATTGATGTGATGAGCAGATATTGTAAAATCTATTGGACTAGTGGTAGAACTTATCATCAGTGCACCAGAGCGTTGAGGCCGAAGTCTGCTGACCGCGTCATTTTAGCACGGTTTGCGAAGGTCTGTGCCCAATGCCGCAATGGTATTAATGATGCTGGAGATTTAATTAAGCGCTCCTTGATGCGTTATAAGAAACTTGTGATAGGCGTCCATATTATTTGTAGGTAGCGGGAGATGGTGTGCAGCAGTCAAAGGACATTCAAGCACGTAATGATCTGGTGACCCATCGTGTATATATATTATATATATATATATATGTATATATATCTTTATACTTTGAAAAAAAAAACATAGGGGAAAGAAAATATGAATTAATATTAAGTAAAAAAAAACTCTAATAATGATAATTAGCGCAAAGAGACTGTATCCCAGAAGGTCTATTAGTTTCGAAACGGCATTTTGCGTTATTTCACTATAAATGTCCATTTCACCTTTAAATTTTTGCCACCAAATATTATCACCTTTTATTATATTTAAACAAATTTAATAATGCAAAATCTGCATGAATGTATGTATATTTCTATTATTATGAACAAACGACGGTATCTAGAGCCATAAAATTTGGAAAAACGTAATCGTTCACCCGAACATAGGTACCTGGACGTCCAAATTTTGAATTGCGAGTTTGTTTTATTATCTGTTTCATATTTTGTAACCCTTTAACGAAATTTTGATGATTAACAAACTCAACGATTTTATAGCAAGCGATGACAACATTTCACGGAAAAAAACAGTTTTATCTTCAGCCAGCGAGAGTGTGTTTATGAAATTCTAAAGATATGCTGTTTTTAAATATTATGCGATATTGCTGTTGAATTGAATTTTATGTGATTTAAGTGCGAAGAGCATGATAGTTAATAAATAAAGGTAGTACACAAAACGTTAGAAAAACGCCTCTTCGGGTGTAATATAAAATCTGAAAGCTTTCAGATTTTATTTATTTTTTATATATATAATTTTTTTCAGTAGCATATTGCTCAGAAATAATATTGGGATAATTTTGTTTTAAGAAAATTCTTGTGATACTGTGTATGTATTTACGTGTGTACGTGTATATATATAAATATAATTGTTGTATGATCTTAAATTCACTTGGTGCGAAATCGAGTTATTCTGTTTTTAGATAATTCTACTGAAATTAATCTTAGAAGATAATATAATCAATATTTCTTTAGTAATTAAAATATATATATGTATATATCGTATGTATACACAAACACAATATCACAAAAATTTATATCTTTATATGCTTCTCATAATTTTGGATAAATAACAAAATCTATTTTTCAAATCGGTCTTCCGATTCCTGTACTCATACTTGGGAAAGATTCATGCTTGTTACAAAAATTGAAAGTGAAACTTAATTTCAAATTTGCCATTTTTGATGTCATTTTCAACTTGTCTTGAGAGATCGGTTGATTATGTTGGAATAATTCAAGGAAATAAATTTAAATGAAGTGCAGGAAAAAGTATGTGCAATCTAATAAGCCTTACAATTAATTTATGTGGTGTCCACGTCTGATTTAACATATGCGTTCGTTAAAATTTAGATTATTTTTAATGTGTTTTATAAATTAAACAACAAAGTGATATAGAAAGTGTTGATAAATACCAAAACTTGAGTAATGTTTTTATATATATTCATACAGGAAAACTAAATACCTAACAGGTAAATAAAATGCTGGCCACTTCCTCTTCCTGAAAATATAAAATTACCTCCAGAGGATGAGTTTCCCTCTAGGGGAACGTAACGGACTAGACGTAATTAGAATGCAACCTTACACTTTTAGAGTTAAAAATCCTTGAAAACATTTAACTTTACATCCAAAACTCAATTATTGTCTGTTGGCATCTCTAATGCATTTTCCAATTACAAATCTCGACCTCAGCTTAACTGCAACTGCGTTTGGAGCCCACAAATGCTTGAACTCATCTAAAAAAACATCCCGTTTCGCTTCACTGAGCAATGCAGAGAAAGATGCTGAAAATAATGTGATGTTTGCGGCAACCCCGTGAGATTTTTACCATTTTTTAATCCCCAACACTTCATCAAAACGGCTCAAAGTGTATTTATAGAACGGAGGCGGGACTATTGTTATTATTATTGTTGTTTTTTCACATAGTATAGCTCGAAATGCAGATGCAAATCTATTCATTCCATCGATTCTTGAAGCTGGTATGGAACAGGCAGGTGAGTTTTCTCAATGCTTGTGTTATCTATCGTTGTTATTGTTTTCAATTTATCGTAGATCGTAGATTATTAATCGTTTAGTACCAATCCTTCATACAAGTCTTTCGTTTATCTTCACCATTATCTGATGGTAGATAATTATTGTTATATTTTAAGTAAGGTATAGTTATAATATATTATTATGTATAATTAAGTAAGGTCTTTCCAAGGCGACACATTGTTGGGGTGCTATGTTTCCTATATTTAAGTGAGGTATAGTTATAATTTAAGTAAGGTATAATTATTACGTGCAATTAAGTAAGGTCTGCACCCAGGCGACACATTGTTGGGGTGCTATTTTTCATATATTTAAGTAAAATATAGTTATAATTTAAGTAAGTTATAGTTATAATTTAAGTAAGATATAGTTATTATGTGTAACTAAGTTAGCTGTATCCCAGGCGACAGATTTTTGGGGTGCTAATCTTCATAAGAAATATTATTTTGTAAGGGTCAGTCATGTGGATTATCCAAGCAGATAGCGAGATTCTCAATTGCCATACAAAATTAAACTCGCTGTACATTATTTAAAGCAGTGGTCTCGAGCTGGTGACCCCCGAAGCAATTTTATGCGACCCGCGAACACATTTCAGTTGTGTATTTTTTGCAAATACGGTGTTACAAAGATTTTAATTATTTGAAATTCGAGTTTACATTATTTTCCTTTCCGTTAAAAAGGAACGTGAATAATGCACAACAAAATCTATAAATGGAGCTCATTGATTTAGAGCAAGGGTTCCCAACTTTTTTGTCCTTAAGAGTACAGTTTAGAATATCTGTTGGACGGCGTGCACCATTTACTTTTTCAAGATGAATTTATAGTTACGTAATTAGTTAAGTTAGAGTTAATAATACAGGCGCATGAAAAAAAAAAAAAAAAGATCGGTCTCGTTTTGCTTTGTGCTGGTATCTGTGTTGGACACAATTTCTATTTCATTAGAAATTGAAACTTTCACACAGAATTTTATTGAAAACTAAAACATTCTTATTGTGATCGCTCCCTTGATCTAGAGCGTGATATATAAATCTTTCTCAAAGATTTAAAGGACAGGTTTGATTAAATTTTACTCGCCCTTCTCTCAAATAATAAATATACTCGGTTGCGAATTCTTATAATAATCGCTTTGTTTGGGTGTACATTTATATGTGAACCGCTTCTTTTCAAGGTTGAAAATTAATAAGAACAAAACCCGGATTAGTGAGTATCCATTATCCGGTATGAAGATAATTTCTAACGATTTCTCTCCAATGCTACAAACTTTATTGGTGTGGAAACGCCGTCGACTGTCAAGCTGTCTTAATAAAGAAGTTTATACTTATTTACATACAAGCATATTTTTTTATTTAAGCTTCGAAGGAAAATTTTGATAAACAAAAGAAAGAGACTAGCTTCTTAGCCCAAAGGGACAATTTGCACAGAAGGGTTATTAATTTCGTTTTGGCACTTTGCGTTGTCCACTATAAAACGGAATTTCACTTTTTAAGTTTTTGCCACCAAATATTAAAGTCCTGGATTATATTTAAAAAAATTAATAATGAAAAATCTGCATGAGTGTACGTATGTTTCTCGCATTGTGAAAAAACAACGGTACCTAGAGACACCAAATTTTCAATAACGTAGACCTGCAGTCCAATATGGGCATTTGGAAGGCCAAATTCTAAAGAGATACTGTTTTTAAATGTTTTGTGATAATGCTGTTTAATTGAATTTTACGGTTTAAGTGCGGAGAACATGATATTTAATAAATAAAGGTAATACACAAATCGTTAAAAAAACGCCCCTTTGGTAGTAATGTAAAATCTGAAAGCTTTCAGATTTTTTTGTCATTTTTCTTTTTTATTATTTATTTTCAAGTTTTGCTCCGTTTGAAAAATTTTCTCCGAAATTTTAGAAATATTTCGTAATTTGTTCATTTTTAGTTATTTAATGATTCATTCATTATACATGCTACAATTATTCAAAAAAATGTTTTTGGATTACAAAATGTTTACCAATAAAAATGTCGTGCAGCTTTAGGTTCAGCTTAGGTTAGGCTTTAGGTTTCAGATTAAAAAAAAAAAAAAAAAAAAGCATAAATTGTTTTTCTTTTTCTTTGTATTATTATTATTGTTTATCTATGTTTTGATTCATATTTTCTCAGTAAAATTCATAATTTATTGACTTTTTTTTACTTATAAAATATTTACTTTACAAAAGATTTCATTTTGGAAAAAAAAAAAAAAATCGGTTTATCTCATCCCGGAAATTTGTCTCTATACGCAACATAAAAATAAAACAAATAATTCCACATAAATAACTTAGAGATAACAATTAGACGAAGAACAGGAACAAAAATTATGAAAAAGAATGGTGTATTACATTATTTGTTGTATTATCATTGTTTGTAATTTTACAAATCTAAACATGTTTTCAGAAACAAAATCCCAGATAATTAAGACACAATAACACGCCGAACAAATACTAAGTCAAACAATAAAAATCAGCCTTATATTTTCAAATTTTCATTGGACTAGTTTCGATGGTTTTACCGAACCACCATCCTCATCTGCAAAAAGCGCAAATGAACGAGATAAGATATTATGATCAGATAAGATAAGAAAGCCTGGACAGAAAATAAGAGGACAGATGGCGCAACTAGCTTATTTTCTGTCCAAACTTTCTTATCTTATCTGATCATTATACTCTATCTCGTTCATTTGCGCTTTTTGCAGCTGAGGATAGTGATTCGGTAAAACCATCGAAATTAGTCCTGTGAAAATTTGAAAATATAACGCTGATTTCTTTGTTTGACTTCTGAATTAAAATCCCAGATTTCAATTGCACGAAAGTCCGATTTTAATAAGTAACATGATACCTGCTCTCAACGTATTAATGCAATTTCATTTTTAATATTTGACATAAAATTCCTGAAGTTATTTCTTAAATCACCTCGTTCAACAATACTCAGCCGTTTCTTGTTTTCCGTTGTGAATTACTGACCCGAGTAAAGTCTGCTTGAACCAGCTATATGAAGAAGTAAAAGTCAGCAATGTTGTTCCGTAACAACTTTTATTTTGCTATATTTTTATGGATGAGTTTCAAATTCCAAAACATAGCTTACACATGTGTTTTAAAAACACATCTGCTCGAACATCCTTTTTCAATGCAATTAACTCTTCTTGCACGATACAAAGGTCAAATACTTACGCTCTGAGTATTTTAAATTCCTTTTACGAAGTAAAGGAAGTATTGTAATCGCGAAAAATTTTGTTTATGAGATTTCAGTGGATATGTCTATTTGAAACGTTTTCAAAATTATTTTGACCATTTTTTTTGCCTGACTTCTGTACATATGGAGAGAATAAAGGAGTCTTTATTCCAAAAAGAATTGTAAAATGGATTCAAACTGGACTTTTTCGTGATGTCTGTACGTGCGTAAGTATGCATCTGGCATATCTAAAAAAAATTAGCTTTAAAACATCGAAATTTTCTATTTGGGACTACTACATCATGTAGCTTTGCACCTCCCATTTTTATTGCAGTTTGCAAGACCAAAAGAATATATATATAACAAACTTTTCCGCCAAAAAACGTTCTCAATAAAGTTAGAAAAAACATGGAAGCAGTACCTTATGATTTTTCTGCCAATATTTTGGTAGTTTCTTAAAGCCTTCGAAACAGAAACTTGTTATCCGCGAATCCAAAATCAATCAACCTCATTTCGGACGTCCTGTGCAGAATGGAAGTTAGCACCAGCAAGATGTAGTTGCAGGCGTGAAAAACCCTTAATCGTTGGGGTTGTATGGTGGGTGTCGCAAGGATCTCATTCGCGTCTGTACAGAGCCCAGTGTTGAACGCAGACACATATGGTCTTGCATTATCTTGATGGAACATTACCTTTTTGCTTAGGATCTCAGTTCGACGCTTTTCCTTGATAGCAGAATCAACACGGTTTGGCATTTTATTTAGAATATCTGTTCCTAAATTACGTATTTATTACTTGACTGAGCTTCGCCATGGATGGAGGGGAGATTTATCGCCTTATTCTATTAGTAACCAACGCCTAAGGGCACGTTATTCATTTCACACAGTTAAAGCAGCTTCCTGCTAAATGCTGTGAACGTCAAGAAACGATCTGATCTATCATGTGCAGAGAAAAAGCTTGACGTGGTAGAAGAAAACTAATTACAATTCTGAAATCAGCATGCCTATTTCACAATAAAACAGCTCAAAAGTCGAACTCAACAGATATTCTGTTACAAATTGTTTCCCAGTGTAATACACATAATTTAATTAATGTGAAACATTTCATAAGTAAAGTGGGTAAATGTCAATTTATAGTCTTTTGTTCCGGTGTTATTTGTAATACTTTAGTTAGTGCTATATGTAATAATAAAATCTGTATTATGAATGCAGAATAGAAATAATTCTATACTTTTGTTAGTGCTACATGTAAGTAAGTAGACAAAAACTTATATAGTTCCATTAATGTTTCACGTATAATAATAAAAAATGAATAAATGACAGTTTACGTACTTTTTGGGATGTTACATGTAATAAATAATAAGGAGTGGGTAAATGACAGTTCATGTATCTTTATTTACGTGTTATAAATAATAAAATGTAAGCGAGTGGCAATTTATATACTTTTTGTGTGTTGCGTGTAATAATAAGGTTATGTTACATCTAACAAAGAGTGGGTAAGTGACAATTGCCTACTATTGTTTGGGTGTTACGTGTAATAAATAAGAAATGGGTAAAGGACAATTGACATGTAAGTGTTAAATATAGTAAAACGTAGATAAGTGACAATTTGCATACGTTTGCAGGTGTCAAATGCAATAATAAAAAACGATTAAATGGCAATTACATACTTTTGTTTGTGTGTTACGTGTAATAATAAGGAGTGTTACATATAGTAAATAGTGGGTAAATGACATTTTATATAATTTTGCTAGTCTCACATATAATTATAAAGATTGGGCTAAATGACAGTCCTTATATTTTTGTTTCGGTAAGTGACAACTTACAATGTTGTCAGAGTGTAACAACAGAACTACCCTTAAAATAAATAATAATTTGTATAATTTTATTAGCGGGTTGCATATAATAATAAAAAGTTGGTAATTGGAAATATACATATTTTTGTTATATCCGGTAGGGAAAACAAAAAGTGTTAAATGAATAATTTATGTACTTTTCTCAGGTATATTATTCTATTCACATATATATATATTTTTTTTCTTTTGGCAGAGACGTTATAGATAACGATGCTGTCTTTGATTTTCATAAGAAGTCTTCTTATTCTCACATGTAAGTAACAACATTTTAAGGAGATACTTGCTTTATAAGCAATTTATTTATTTCGCTCATGTACTAGTTTCACCATGGGTTGAATTTGGTCATTAATTTTTAGCCTATTTCCTGATAAGCTATCGAGTTCAAATTTTATACACACACACTGTTGGTCCATGACAGTGCAATATGATGAAGAGATTTTTTTCAAAGTTCGATTTAGATTTTTTAATTTAATATTTAATCTATTTTTCGCTTTAGATTTTTTAATTTAATATTTAATCTATTTTTTTAATTTAATATTTAATCTACTCATATCTTCGATGACAAAAAATAAACTAAGCATAACAGAATTTTACTGTTTGCACTGTCTAATAGAACAAAGAAAAAAAATCTTTCAATGAAACTTGTACAAAAATTACAAGTTCATGTCTGATGTTTTTTAAATAGCTCGGTTTTTTAGATTATTTGACGTTTACAATTTTAGGATTTTTAACGTCTAAAAACGTATCGGATATAAAATTATATAATTTTTACAGATTTTACCGTCTTTTTAAACAAGAATGATAAAAATCTATAGACCGAATGATTTTCTACATTAAAAAAAAAAAGAGTACACTGGTGTGCAAAACTGGTTTGGGGCTCTTTTCGCCTGTAGGACGATATATCGGTTATCTGCTGCAATTGTTGTTCTGGAGCGGCCACCACCAACCTTTCTAATAGCTGTACTTATGGTTTGGAAGATTTTTCAAGCCCGCGAAACGACACTTTTGTTGACTTCAAAATCTTCACCCATTTTGGTCACACTACGCCCTTCTTCCAGCTTTCCGATCATTCTTCCGCTCGTGAAGTCATCCAAATGATTTCTTCTAGCCATATTTCACAAAAGATTTCACTTGTACTTACAGCGAATGTATTTAATTGCGTCTCCGTCCTTCCTTTTATGGTAGTCTCGAGTGGAGCGCATGCGTTTTGCGTAGGATCACGTAGCCTGTGACGTTTTTTTCCTGACATTTGCATATGCATGACCTTTCTACTGAATTGCATGTTCATTGTACTGATAGCAAGAACGCCTTTTCTGCAACTGCATGGTTATCTGATTAAAATTTGCATTGTTGCTTAAGTTTTGCACACCAGTGTATTTTGTACTCTGAAGCAAATGGGGGGGGGGAGTTTCTCGCAAAAAAAATGCTTTCAAGTCTGTGATCTTGGCGCACTTGGCGGCGAACTTGTGTTATTCATTTTCTCATTTCATTTTCAAGTAATAATACTCGTTAAGTAACATTATTATTAACCGAATTTTCTAAATTGAATATTCAAAGCATTTTCTGAATGACGTTCAGCTATTTTTAGTTAGTTCATAATTTTCTTATCATTTATTGTTTGCGTTTTAATAATGGCTAAAAGTTTCATTATTGATAATGTGTAATTGATACTAAAAACAAAAAATAATATACCATTAAAAAAAGAGATTTTTTATAAAGTAAGCTTTCTTTAAAATAATTAATGCACGAAAAGGACAGCAATAATTTATCATATAGTTTAATGGCTTGGTATGTTAATATAATGTATCGGCTGCTGGTTAGCCCGCGCGCTCGTTGGGATACGAGCCTTACTCGAATTACCAATGTTCAGCGACTTTACAGCTCAGCCGCTGGTGAGCATCTAGTTCGATGGGAATAATAGATTAAATAATTCTATTTACAGAATTCATCTGCATTTTTATATCATGAGTACTAACTAGGTCGTGGCAGATCTGAGTAACGAAATCTGTTAATTTCATTGCATTGTCAAATGTATAAACCATTATCTTTTGAAATTTGTCAAATTTATAAGCCGTTATGTTTTTGAATTCATCACGGGCACCCCGCGCTTTCACTGTTCGCGATATAAAATTGTATATTAATTATGTAAATACAATTATTTAATCTATTATTTCCATTAAACATTGTGATAAATTGTTATTCACCTTTTCATGTTTGCATTAAACAGTTCCCCCACCCTTACATTGTATTTAATTTAATGTAACTCTTCTGTTTTAAACTTTAAAACAGATTTAAAAAGGAAAAGAACAACTAATTGAAAGGGTAAGCTCAGAAAATAGAACATGCCATTTAATTTATTTAAATTTCTCTACAATACTTATGACTTCAGAATCCATTGTTATTAGCAGCCAGTCGGACCTATTTTGGAAAAATAGCCTGATTTTACGTAAAGATTCATGCTCTATTATTTTTAAATTCAAAAAAATTAATTCTGTATAAAATACAAAATTTGACTTCATTCATATTTAGAAAAATTTTGAACTATTAAAAAAAAAAAGCACAAAATGTCCTGACTCCCGTGCAGAAATTTGACCGACATAATTAATTTAAAATTTTCTGATTTTTAATGTCATTTTTCAGTTTGGATCAAAGTTGGATAAACTGTGATAATAACTGATACTAAAAAAAAAAAAAATAATAATTGAGGTTGACTTTTCCCATTTAAATGCCATTCGATGGTAGTCCTTTGTAATTTGCTAGTGACTTTATTTATAATTTTGATACATTTGGTGTGGAGAAAGAATTTTCACACCAGCAATATGTAAGTTTTCAGAATTTAAAAATACAATATAAATAATCTCATGAAGTTTCTGTGAAAAAAAAAATTATATTGATCAACATTTTATTGGTAAAAAATTATATTGATCAATTTTGTGCAAAATTCTTGGAAAAAAAACTATATTGATCAATTTTTTTCAATAATTTTGCACAGAAATGTTCTCACGTAATCTCTTTAAAGTGATACAAAACTTACGCACATGGCAGTTTTGCACAAGTGGCATTTGTGCACATCATTCCTGCCAACATGAAATTTTCTCACAGGTGTAACCAGTTATGGACAACAAGTGACACTTACGCATAGCCTTATTGATAAAGTTTATTTTTACCAAAAGAAACACTTCACAGTTCTAGAACTTTCCACAAATATACTGGTAGAGTTCTTTTCAGTATCACAGAACACAAACAGTAATTACGGTTCAAACTACTAAGAACGTTAAACGCAATGCAGTACAAAGTTCATCTAAAGAATGATGCTCAGACGAAGATAATCTCAACACTCCGAAGTCGGTCTGAACTAAAAACTGTGAAACTGATGCTCTTTCTGGTCTTGTGTAGTTTTCCAACATCCGCAGAAAAATCTCTAGTACCGTCCACTTTTAGAAATTACTGGAAGGCATGAGGGCCGGATACGGTCGCAGTTACATATAGGGATTAATTACATTTATTCAGTCACAGTACCAATTACAGTTATAGATGGACAGACGACCAAAATGTCGATTTTGTGATTTTTCTCCAAGTTGGTGAGAAAAATTAGTTGCCAAAAGCGTCGCCATCTTGACGTTATGTTGTCAGTTTAGCGAGATAGCCATTTACTAAATTTTAAATAGCCTTGCCCCTGTAATTTATTTTTTCCGGCCATCATCTTTTTCAGACATCTAGTGTTACATTATACAAAAAAATGCTGTCATTTTCAGTAAAATTCCACTAAAACTATTTACATATATACAGGAACTATCAACACTATTATTTTAATGCAGTTATTTTAATTGCATATTATTTTGAAAAAACAAATCAGCTAAAAATATTGATTTATTTACATAACGCTGCGCGCAGTGCATGTTACAGTATTACGTGTATGATAAAAAAAAGATGTTTTATTTTAAAATATCTTAGAATTTGAAATATAAAATAAAAGTAACTCCATCATTAAGAATATCGAAATAGGTATACATAATTTCACTCTCATAAACCGTTATAGATATTGAGCTTCAAAATGCGCTGTATTTGGGGGACATTTTAAAGATAACTTTTTATTTAAAGTATTTATCATTTTTTTTTCACATTAACACTTTAACAGCAGTCCGGTAACTTAAAATTTTGCAAAGCAAATTAGTAATCCAAGTTGCTGTTCCAAGTTATCAAAAGATAATCAAGATGTGGTCTCGTGCGGAATTGCCGCTAAACTAAGCAAACTACTATTACATGGTTGCATCATTTAGAACATTTTTGCAACTGGAAGTATTTGTGTGTGACCAACGATAGCGAAAATAAAGGCTGGAAAATGACTTTTGAGGACGCGATATAATATAAGGGGTGGTTATTATTAAAATTCCCCTTTGAAATGGTCATAAAAGGAAAACTGCTGGACTAAATGTTATCAAGCTTGGTAATCGTGTTGAGGAGGTCATGGGAATTTATTTCCCGCAAAACAAAAGTTCAAAAGTTCACCACCGGGGGGTAAATGGCACTGTATGCAATATTGTTAAACGAAATAAGGGTTGGAATCTAGCTTAACTATCCGTTACAAGGGTTTAACATGTTCTACACCATTAAGAAACATTAAACAAAATTATCATTTAAAGGCGATAAAAGTCGAGTGCGCCATCTGCGAAACGGAGAAATCCGTCTGTGAAAACTTCAAATTAGCGATTTGAGACACCCAGAACTGCAGAATTTAGGCCAAACAAATCCCTCATGTTAACTACCCAGTTCCATTGCAATCTCCTAAAGTCACCGTTTGGTGTAGTATGATAACTAGTATATTTTTATACTAGTTATCATACCTAAATGAAAATTGCCAATCGTACGTTTCAGATGGTACTTCACCGATTTTATACCAGCTTCCCAAAGTCCTCCGAAGTGAGGCGATTTGGGTGGAATAAAATTCCAATCTATATTTTCTTGCGAAAAATGATTAGCTAATTCTTTGTCTGGGAAATTAATGAGCTTATAAAATTTTTTCAATTTTGAATTCGCTCCAACAAAGTTAGTAGCATTGTCGGTATAAATTTTGAAACATTTGCCACGTCTACTTGTAAAACGTTTAAGTGTTGCAATTAAAGCATCGGAAGTCAAATCTGTTAATGTCTCAAGATCGGAAGTCAAATCTGTTAATGTCTCAAGATGGATGGCTTTTGTTGCGAAACATATAAAAATACAAATATACAATTTATTCAGAATACCTTTACGTTG